GGGTGTGGAGTGAAATGGGAGGCCCTAAGTTATCGGGTCTTTGCACAGCGGGAGCCATCAACGTGGCCAGTCTCCGAGCCCCGACACACCTCAGCTCGGATCCTCTTCATCGAGTCGGCCTGCGTCAGATTTTTCGCCCAAAATGTCATACAGTTGTGGCAACCGATCGACTCAGTCTTGTTGTCACTCGTCTTGCCGCTCGGCCGGCCTCTCGGTAGTCGAATGTGCCGCCTGTGTGACGTGTATGGCAGATGTGGTGGGTGTGATGGGTGTGTCGACTGTGTCGGCTGTAGTATAGGGTGGGGCTTTCGGCGCCACCCGAGGTGTGGCCGGCGTGCCAGAGGCAACGCTCGTGTCTGTCTGCTGAGAGGCGGATGCGGATAGATGTGGGGCGGATGTGGGCAGGATACAGCGGGACTGGCCACATGCCATCTGGCACCCCGCCACACATTCACACACACACACACACACACATACATACATACATATAAGCATAGATATGGCCACAGATATGCAGCACGATGTCAGTCTGCTTGCACTTTGATGGAGAGGGAAAGTGTTTACGATGTCTTCGATAATTTACATCAAACTCCTTGAAGGTATCACAACCGTGTCGCGAAGAGGCCATCGGGGGAGTCCGGGTCGTGAACATTCAGTCAGGTTGTTGCCCCAGCGACATTCTGCCATATTTGCGCACCTCTCAAGCGCCATAGTCTCTACATACTTATCCCTCGGCCGGAATGCTCGTCCATTCTGTGTCCACCGGCGTAGACGACAACGAATGCACAACTGATCGAAATGTCACTTTTGTGCGCCTGTTCTCCCGAGGCCACAACGTCCGGCGCAATCTCTCCTCTCGCCTCCGCCCACAACCGGGTCTCATTAATATAACCTTTTACTCCTCGTCTTACCGTTTATATTGGTACCTCTTTGTCTGTGCATGCATGCCTACAAGTGTCTGTGTGTGTGTGTGTTTATCGCGGTATGTGTCGCTCTGCTTGACACTCTAACAGTCCGCCGTACCGGCCAGTCTCCATAGGCACCCCGAGGAGGGCTGAC